TTGTACTGAAAATAAATTGTTCTTTAAGGAAATTATGCATCAAACTCCCTTAAGGCTCTTGACTTAAGAGAATGCAATCAGCACATGCTCCATATATACATAATGTAACAAATATATTAATAAAACTCTGTATCACCAGTGAAATGTAGTTTATGCTAGCGTAATTTTATTATGCATTTGATCCAAAGGAATTTTTGTTTGTTTCAGTTTTTTGGATAGCTCTTAAGAATCCAGGTATGGCAATACACTCAGTTACAGTAGAAGTAACTGAAAATATAGTTTAGATTAAAATCCTGCACACTTTTAACAAAGCAAATGTATGTCTGTGTAATTATGCTGGTTCTCGCCACGATGATCTTGACAGTATAATGGGTGCTGTAGCATTGTGCTTCCCACCCTACAAATCAAAAGGGAGGAAGAGGGCTGTGTATGTGCTTGTGGAATGCTTTGCTACACTGGGGCTACATATACATATATAGTCTCGGAAAGTGAAATCACTTGTGCAATGGCTTTCACATCAGTTCAGTGCCTAAACAAGAATACAATCTTTTATTTTATTTTTTCCCCACACCAAAATAAAAGGAGGCCAGAGAACAACTTCACACACTCTTAATTTGCAGTCACTGTCGTTTTTAGTTAATTTATACAGACTTCCACTTTATAAGTCGACCTCATGTATAAGTTGAGGGCAAGTTCACGGCCCAAAGTTATGCATTTTGATATGACCCTTGGAGAAGTCAAGGATAAAACTTAGGGGCATGAAACGAAGGGTCTCAATGATGGAGTAAAGGGGGGGAAAATCAAAGCACTTACAAAATCCCAAGAGGCATAACTGTTTGTGCTCACACTAAAGGCTAGATGGACGAGAGAACAGAGAGGGGATTGGTGCTTCCAGGACAGATTACGCTCTTTCACATTTCTTATATATTATCACAGCAGATATAGGTTCACTAGGGGATGGTTCTTTTTAATATGTTAAAGTACAGTACCTCCATTGACCCATGAATAAGTTGACTCAAGTCTTTTGGGTCAATTTTTAACCTAAATTTCTAGACTTATACATGAGTATATACAGTAGTTATTCCACCATATATACCAGCTTTTTTGTTGGCTGGATGAAGAACATCCATAATTGGAGTACATGAGATATATACATTAGAAACAAAACCTTGTAAAAATAAAATAAAGTAAAAGATAACTGTGTTACTCCAAAACAAAAATCCAAAAGCCACATTCTTGTAATATTTTAAAATACGGACCTACCAGAATGTCAGAGAATCATGAGTACACTTTTATTCAAAAACTTCCTCAGTGTAGGATAGCACTCCTGGGAGTCTGTATGGCTTGACTTAAAACTGCAGCTATCATACTGGGAGGTCATGAGAATGAGCTCTTGCATTTATTCAAACCTAGCTCAAGATCAGAATCAGGCTTGCTATGTTTAATTTTGCTAAACCAAGGCATCAGCTTACCTGGGGTTTTAAAATGTTGAACTGCCTTTGATGTGGCAAGTTTAAACCATGTCAAATAATAATCTTCATATGATATGGCTGTAATCTTTCTGAAAACATACATTTGGAACAAAGGATGAGTTTTCAGGGAGGATTATACAATTAGTTATTTGACACAGGTTTCCCTACAGAACGTTTCATAAAGCAGCAAAATGAACAAAAATAAAAAACACCCCAGAGGTTTCCAGGGCTATATGACTCACTATTCACCTTCTACACAAATGAAGGCAAACAGGAGGAATTTAAAGAAACTAGTGCTCTGCCTTCTTATTTCCAGTCTGTGAAAGCCAGATCTCTCTCAAATTCCTTTCCATGGATCAATTACTTTTTTAAAAAAGCTGTTTCCCTTTATAAAATAATTATACTAAAATTTAAGGAGTTATATGTGGCTTGCTACAGAAAAGTAACAACACTTAATCCATTTATTAGAGAATATTTACAAATACAATTTAACACAGAAAGAATAAATAGTACATATCAAATCCAAATACTGCAATTGCAAAGTGATATAATAATGTATAAATTATATATATAAAACAAATTTCATTCCTGGAATACAGTAAATTCTTAAAACATATTTTAAAAGAAAAAAGAGCAAACTAAAAAAACAAAAAACTATATTTTGCTACTAGATCATAATAAATAATCACAATAAATAATAAATATTCAAACAGTTGCATACCATACATAAAACATAGATAATTCCAGTTTAAAGAGATTATTTCCAAACTTAACATGGCTCCCTCTCTATAGGAATAGTAACTAACTCTTCATACTGGCAGTGGCTCATGATCAATGGCACCATCTTGGGAGCATCTAATGCGATCTGATATCATTAGTTTGCACACACATTTGGCATAGCGTTTTCCTACCCTACAACTCTCAATACAAGTTCATTTGCTGTATCCCAGACATCCAGGGCTCCAACAAGTAATGTGTGGATGGAGATCTTGCATCCCCTTTGTCTCTGTACATCAGCCAGAGGAGTGTATTATTGGTGTTTCTGCTCTCTAGCTTCCTTCATGGCTGATTTCCTGCTCTCAAAGGAATAATTAATTTATTCCATGTAAATAAGAATGTTTTGATTCCTTTCTCTATGTACTTATGGTGAATAAATCTGATGAAGACATAAATATTTCCCACAATTGTGTTGGATTTATTTACAGTATTTGCAATGTGGCAACATTTGGCGTTGCTTCATAATGCTGTTTCTTGACATGCTTTCATCTATGGGAGAGACCATACAAAGAAAATGTGGTAATTGATTTTTGTCTTTGAGATGGCAATTGCTGTGCAATTGCTGAGAAAAAGAATGAGATCTTTCAGAGTTTAGAAAAATTACTTTTTTGGACCTATACTTGCAGACTGCTCTGCTCAGCATGGAAATTGTTGGAGCTGTTGTCCCCAAATGTATTTTTTTCAAGCTCTGGTCTTATGACAATAGAACTGGTATGAAGGTATCTTTGTATCTTGTTTTCTTTTAGCCTTGCTCCAGACCCTAGAGCAAAACTTAGGACAAGTATAATCTTGCCTCTTGAGATGACTTCAGCAAGAAAGGGCACACAATTCCCATGCATGGCAACAATATTTTGTAAGATTGTCAGATGTCAAGGTGAGTGTGCATGTGGGAGAGACCTACAGGAAAGTAGGAAAAGCTGTCTTTTTACATTTAACCATTGGGGTTCTCAGAGCTGTTTTTGCTGATTCAGAGGCAATGCAGATGGTCTCTGAGGGGCAGCTATGTGCCGCCCCTGGGAGCAGCGGATTGGGGATGCTGCACCCACACACCGTGGCCCTGATCCTCCTTTTTGCCACTCCAAAAAGAGCTGGCAAATGCTGCTCCTTTTGGGTGTGGCAAAAAGCCACCCTTAGAGCTGCCACAGTGGCTCTTTCCACCCCTTTGGTGCAGCATGTGTGCATGCTGTGCCAATGGGGCGCCCTGACAGCATGCACTGTGTGGTTGGGTGCACAGTGTGCCAGTGGTATCGGGACAGAGTTGGGCCGGATGATGTGCAGTTGCCCCGCCCCAACTGCACCACCAGGCCGGCCCTTTAGGCTGGTCTGCATTGGCCAGTATTCCTTATCCAAAATGCTTGAGACCAGAAGTGTTTTGGATTTTGGATTGTTTTTTCTGGATTTTGGAATATTGA